TTCCTTCCGAGGAGTGGCTGGTGGGTTTGAACCGCCAGCCTTCTGGTTAGCAGTCAAGTGCCTTAGGCACTATGCTACCAGAGCTCCTACAAAGTCAAATAGCAGGTAAGAATGGTTCTTTGGAGAAGATTTATTCTGGAGTCAGTAGTGACCTCATTTAAAAGGACTGTACAATTGAATACGTGTAGGACTCTGAAAAGTAGCATATAATTGTTGTAATGTCTTTGTTAAGGTGAACTCATTCAAACACAGATAGTATTGTTACTCATGTCAATATGGTAATAAGCCATTTTCCCAGTAACTTAGACTGGATCTGAGGAGAAGCAGACCTGGGGGTAACTTTTTTACTCTAGATTCTGAGAATAACAGGAAATAGTGTCATTATTGGGTACAGCAAATTATTTTAACAATTTTTATGCTTCGCAATTACCCAAATTTGCAACAGAAGAGTTAGGGTCAAGTGACATTCTAAGGGTCTATATTTTCTGTGATCCTTCTGGTAGAGATATCATGCAATATCCACTATTCCAACTATAGACAATAGTTCCCATTGTAATTTACCAATCAGGTGTCACTTTGTTATTAAGTTTTGGCAATGATCTGTTACCAGAAAGTTGCATTTCCTGGCATTAGATGTATCTGGTATAATCAGAAGAAATAAGAAATCTACCCCCTGATCTTAGATATTAGTCTACACCCCTTTTGACTTGTCACTCAGTCCTTTCATTTGTCATGACTTACAGTTGTCACTACTTCTGTAGTGATACTGCTTCGGAAGTCGTAGGAGGGGTCGCTATGAGTTGGGGCTGACTTGACGATGGCACATAACAACAACAACAACAACAGTTGTCACATCAATTGATTATGAGTCAATCCCCTTTCTCCCAGTTCTAGGCCAAGTCTCTCTACTAGCCCTTTCAGACACTAATGAGCTTTCTCTTGGGCTCAGGAATTCTCAGCTCTTTTTCCTGTACCACATATGTAGGCATGGACTAGGTGAGCCTCCTTCAGGCTTTTTAGCTTACCTTCCCTACAGCCCTCATGGCACAGTGGTTAAAGCACTTGGTTGCTCACTAAAATGTCAGCTGTTTAAACCCACCAACTGCTTCATGGGAAAAAGATGTGGCAGCCTGCTTCCATAAAGATGGTTGTTGTTGTTGGTATTGTTAGGTGCCATCTAGTTGGTTCTGACTCATCGTGACCCCATATCCAACAGAAGGAAACACTGCCTGGTCCTGCACCATACTCATCGCCATTGCTGTGCTTCAGTGTATTGTTGCAGCCCCTATGTGTCAACCCATGACATTGAGGGTCATCTACTTTATCACTGACACGTTACCAAACATGATGTCCTTCTCCTGGGACTGGTCCCTTCTGATAACGTGTCCAAACTACCTAAGGCAAAGTCTCACCATCCTTGCTTCTAAGGAGCATTCTGGCTGTACTTCCTCCAAGACAGATTTGTTCATTCTTCTGGCAGTTCATGATATATTCAATAATTTTTTGCTAACAATATATTTCAAAGGAATCAATTCTTCTTTGGACTTCCTTATTCATTGTCCAGCTTTCACATGCGTATGTGATGATCAAAATTACCATGATATGGTCAGTTGTTAATTTTAGTGATAGAATACTCAAACAAAATTAGAGAAAATTTAGATGACATCAAATTCCTAAGATTTTTACCTCTAATTTGTTCTATAGTTGTGTAATAGACTTTCTCTTGCTATTTTATATAAATATGTAACATCTTGATTATACTTAGATACACACATACACTTTTATAATTGTACATGAATAAGTGCTTGGATATTTGTGGATATGCAGATATATTTATCTATATACACATAGTTATAGGTGCATACATAGATATATATGTTTATTTATTGATAACACATATCATTTTTTTGTTTTCCCCTTGGTATACAAACTATCAATCTTCCTCAAAACATATCAACATAGCAACTATTTTCTTTTCCTTTTCAATTTGTGGTTGTGGACTTGGCCATCAAGGAATGAATATGGTTTCTGGAAGCAGAAATACGTCACAAAACGGTAAAGAGGCTAAAACCACAGACATCTTAATGAAAATTGTCCCCTTTGATATGTGCATTCTTTATTTTCAAAGACTAAGTGGTCATGTTTTTGTTAGGTGCTGCTGAGTTAGCTCCATGTCATAGCAACCCTGTGCAACCCTGTGCAACAGAAGAAATGCCGCTCAGTGGTGTGCCACCCTTACAGTCCTTGCTACACTTGAACCCATCACTTCAGCCACTGAATGATCACGTCTTTATTTTATTTCCATGATGATTCCAGTGATGCTAGGCTTTTGGTGTGGGGTTGTCTTAGACTACTATC